CCAGGTGTGACACTGGGCAAGTGCCAGTGAGGACTGGTGGCGTGCACCTCATGACATACAGTGGGGGGACAACCAACCCCCACAGATCAAGTGGTATGCCTCCATCTCCAAGTGAATGGCGTTCAAATTCCTCTCGTTGGGACTTGGGTGAAATCACCAGGAAAATGGACACCCTTGATGTGCATACGGGAGAGATCCAATATAACCTCATGGAACACATAGCCCAGACGCAAGAATGGCAACAAACTGCTGATACTCAGTTCGCCAACATCAACAATATGATGCAGTCACAGCACGATGACCTTCAAGCGTACTTCTGCTTTCAGGGGTTCAATCCTTACCAAGGACCCTAAGCGAAAGCTAAGCTTGGGGGGAGACATCTCTCCCCCCACTGAGGTAACTTCTATCACATTGCATATTTCCCTTGCCAATTGCATATTTGCTTTCCAATTGCATCTTATAAACTTGAAAACAACATAAAAATTTGTAAAATAGAAAATACCAAAAAGATAGTTTAGGTTTGAGTCATGCTAGGTAAGACGAACTAGTTTTATTTGTTGAAATGATGAATAGTTGCTCTGTTTTATATCTCTTATATATGGGTTCATAGGTAAGTGCTCTCTCAAAGGTTAAATATAAGTAGCCAATAATTATCTGGGAACCTGAGGTAAATGTGATGCACTTGCTTATCTGAGTCTAAGCCATTGCAAGATATGAGATAGTAAATAAGAGTTGCTATGATCCTAGTCCTAGTTTGACTTGAATTTCGGACTTGAAGTTCCTCATTTGATATAAATTCCTACCAGAGCTAAAAATGTGCCATCATAATTGAACTATATACATTTTGGTTACTTGCCATTCCATTGAACTTTGTTATATTCTTGTGACTTGTGTAGTTACTTCTCATGCTTTATGATCAACATCATACACCGACATATATGCACATGCTAAACTCCTACATTGCGAGCTAAGCAATTATCCATTCCATTTCCATACTACCACCAAAATAAATTCTCCATGCTTTCATGTGTTTTCTTCTCCTAAAAAAAGAGGAGGGAAAGGCATGGTTATGAAAAAAAAAGAGAGAAAATATAATAAAGTTATGCTCTCACCAGCATGAGCATGATATTGAAAATGTAGCCATGCCCTCTCCTAATTAATAAAAGAAGGATTTTTGGGAGAAGAAAGTAAGCACAAAGGAGAAGCATTTCCTTTATTTTCCTCATATACCATTTCCACCATATATCACACACACTTTGCACGATCTTGATCTTGAGTATGTTTAGTCATCAGCTTTAGTCTAAGTTTTTGACTTAGTAATAAATGTGAATGCAAGTATGCCATGTTTGATCCCTACCGAGCTCCACACATTAAACCTTAGAGTAGGAATCAAAAAGGCAATTTGGCGAGGATTTCATATTGATACACTTGGAGAGACTGAGTGAATCATTCGAGGAACTTGGATTTCTTTTGCAAAATCATTTGAAAAACTTTCGGAATGAAAGTTGAATAAAAGATTGGGTGATTAGTGCTCTAATTACTGTTATGTCTTTCAACCGCCCAAGGCAAGGAGAAGCAGTGTCTCGTGGGAATCAGGGGTAAGGGTAAGCCACCGTGCCAAAGATTATTTAATCTGAGAGAGAGTACATATACCTTGCACTTGTACCTTTGAGATATACAGCATAGTAGCAACTCCTGATCAACAACCAAGTTTTTGTTTCCTTTCATCCTTCACTCGGGACGAGCAAAGGTTCAAGCTTGGGAGGTTTTGTTGACGGTCATTAGCTATCAGTTTCGACCGTCAATATTACCAAAATAGAGGAGAACTAGTTATGCTTGCAATGCATATACATGTTAGAATAATAATATTCCACTAGTATTAGGTTCACTAACCTTTTGCAGAGAATAATCATTAAATGGAGGAGAATCGACATCAAATCAAATGATCGATCAATCGGACTATGTCGAGAATCAGACTTATGTATGAATGGGCCAAGAACTCAAAATTGACACGATGAACTGGGCCAAAATTCACAAGTCTGCGCATGGGAGTAATAGAGGAGGCCACCTGCCGAATTTAGGCCAGGTTGGGCCGGCCCCTGGTTCGGCCGAACCCACCTGGCCGCCGCTGGATCCAGGTTTTGGCTGGACGGCTGAGATGAAGCCCCTATATGGTTGGAGGGTAATTCCGACCATTCCAACCGTCATAACCGTCATAGTTCAGCTATAAAAGGGCTTCACCTCCTCACTTCCTCCACACACCTCAAGCAAAGCTCTCTCATATTCTCTCAAGTTTAGTTTAGTGTTATCTAGCTAGTGGAATAGGAATAGAGTAGAAATCGGAGTCTGGAAGCCTTCGGAAGAGTTCAGGTATGGCTCTAGTAGCTCTTCTCTTCTCTTTTGTAAGTTTTGTACTATTATTAGAATACTCTTCTTTATACATTTATGGTATTGGAATATTTTCCGAGTATATGAATGCCCCGGTTGTATGGTCATGGCGGGCTGTCGTAAGGAACTCAGCAATCAGGGGTAGCTTCTCGAAGTACCAGGAGAGCATCGGATAGAGGGTATTAGCTAGTATATCAGGTAACTAGGATGTTTGTATACTATGTATACTAGAAGTATAGGAATATATTCTCTTTCTCTTTTCTTTCCACTTAGCTTAGATATTTTATATGAAAATGAGTAGCTCCCTGCTTGTGTGTCACTCTACCCTTGGATTATATTAACCCCTGTTTAGACTATGATTATTACAAGTAATATATAAATTATTAGTCAGGTTCTCTCTACCATGATCTTCCCACGGGAATAAATAAATACGATATCCTTGGAATACTCTCGAGTGAAATGCTACAATGGTATATCCGTGCGCTTGCGGATGAACTCTGTAACCATAATATACCAGGAGTATTTCTGCACCATTGCTGGGAATTATATGTCTAGTAATGTCGTTAAGAAATACCAACAACGGCGGTGGCGGCCGTCCCACGCCCGACCCCGCCCGGATCTAGCGGGTCGGCAGCAGGTGGCTTGGTAGCGGTCGACGGCAGTAGCGCGCAGCTCAGCGGGGCTCCTCCCGGCCGGATCCGACGGCAGAGGCCATCTCTCGCCCGACCCCGAGCTATCCGGCGAAAGGCGACAGCGGCTCGGCGGTGGGCGGCGGGCAGCTCGGCAGCGGTCGACGACAGCAGCGGGTAGCTCAGCGGGGCTCCTCTCGCCCGAATCTGGCGGCGGCAGCTGTCCCGACCTTGCCCAGCCCTGCACGAATCCAGCGAGTAGCGGCAGGAGTCCGGCCCTGCGCGGACTCGGTAGGACTGGTGGTGGGCGGCGGAGGACGGATCCACCTTCCCCGACGGTGGGAGCGGCGAGGGCAGCGGGAGCGGACAACGCGACGCAAATGAGCGGCCGGCGACAGGGATGGCGGCAATGTTGATGGTTGTTATAGACCAATTTCGACCGTCAATATGAGAACTAGCTACACTTATAATGCATATTTGTTTTAGAATAATATAGTTCTACTTGTACTTAGAGAATAATGTGTTGCAGGAATTTAGCAAATAAAATAAAGAGAAAGTGAAGAAACCTAACTCCTAAACAAGCTAGAGGATAAGGAGGGCCCACATGTCAAGTGAAATCGTCCCGGAAACCGCCTTAACTGCCATAACCGTCATAGGGACCCACCTGTCAGTGTCGTGCCCGAAGCTAGAGGCCTACTGGGCCGGCCCAGAGTTCAGCTGAACCCTGATGGCGCTAGCTCCGGCTGGCCCTCCACGTGGACGCTCCAGATTACTCCTCAATGGCGGTTAAGGGGCAGAATGGTCTTCACTTTTCTACAACCGTCATAACTACCCTATAAAAGGAGGAGCTCATTCACTCTCTCAACACACTCAAGCAATCTCAAGATTCCTTTTTATACTTTAGTTTAGTATTTTAGTGCTAAGTGGAGTAGAATAGAATAGTTCTCGGATTCCTCGGAGCTCTCGAAAGAATTTCAGTATGGCTCTAGCAACTTTTCTATTTTCTTCTATAAGACTCCTGGAATTAATGAAATATTCTTCTTCATATATTTTTGATATTTTGCTTAGTATGAGTACTACTCTTGCTTTATATTTGTATCATTAAATTGTATGGGTAGCCTACCAAAGAGGTGACTACGACGAAACCATACGCTGGATTGTCATAATTAGCGACCTCAATCTCATATCCAGTTACTATTAGTACATCCAAAAGTGCATGCATTATTTCCCTTCTTATAGAATTTTCTCTTAAATTACTCTTTCGATTTACGATCTGATTATACCATTGGGTTCGTAATAATTAAATCTTTAAAAAAGATCTCACATAATTATATTTTATAAAAAAATACAAATTACTTTTATAATATATCTAAATTACTTTTATATTTTATTAAATTACTTCTTAGTTATAAAAGTAAATTCAATAAAGTCTGAAAGTTAGAAGTAACTTGAAACAAAAGTAAAGTAACTTGTTACAGCATTAAAAGTAAATATATTGTGGGAGTAAAAACATAAGTCTATCTAGAAAGATTTAGTCAACAATCATAGTTACCCCCACAACTGATTTACTTCTGATGTCGTGACAAGTTATTTTCTTTTTGTTTTAAGTTACTTCTATAATATATGCAAATTACTTTTAGGCTTTATTGAATTTACTTTTATATGTCTAAGATGTAATTTAATAAATCTGAAAGTAATTTAGATATAATTTAAAAGTAATTTGTATTTTTTATCAAAATATAATCATGTGAGATCTTGTTATAAAGATTTGATTATAGTTCGGATCGTAGATCGGATGACTAAGTTAAGAGAAAAATTTATTTGAACCATAGGTGGTAGGAACATATTTTATACTTACTTGATAGACAAGTATTATAGATTAACAATATTCGGACAACATCTGATGGCATCGCTGGTTAGTACTAAAACGAGATGCCTCTCCATTTAGATTTTGCGCTCACATATATAGTACGGAACTTTGAGCTAACGGGAGTCATAGTAAGGCTTCTCTCGCCTTTTGATAATCCCACCGTGCGTCAACAAAGCCCAGAGGTGCGTGATGAGCTCGCCGCCGGTGGCCAGCTTCTTGACGTGGCCCGTCACGTTCTCCGACGGCGCAACCGCCAGCAGCAGCTCCACCCACATCTCGGCCAGTAAGTTCCACAGCGCCGCCTCGTCAGCCATGGCCGAGAGCAGCTGGTACCCCAGCTGTGCGCCGTCGGCTAGGACGGCTTCTCCGGTAAAGTTGGCCTCGTCGGCCGGCATGAACTCTCGCAAGCTGGCGAACATGGCGTCTTTGGAGCGGCGGCAACCTATGTTTCGGAGGTAGTTCTGGATCGCCTCCTGCACGGCCTCCATCAGCAGCCGCTCGTCGTGGACCTCATCCGTCACCAGCTCCGGCGCCTGGAGCAGCAGGTAGGCGCAATAGTTGGAGAGCACGGTGGCCACCTCGCGGCTGTCGGCGGCGACGGCGTTGTGGGCGGCGCGTGGCCGTGCCTTGCCACCGGCGGCGCCAAACAGCTTGGAGAGCTCGTCGTCGCAGATGGCGGTGGCGATGTGCCAGATGAGGATGCTGCCCATGGTGCCGAACTTGTACCTGGAGGTGGACCAGTCGAACACCTGCAGCATGTCGTTCCTCTGCAGCGTCCGGTCGCCGTACTTGACGTTGGACAGCCACTCCGACCGGAGCAGCCGGTGGATCTGGCGCTTCACCGCCACCGGCAGGCTCCGCCGCGTCACTGCCCTCGTCGTGGCCAGCTGATCCTTGACCCACCTGTGGAGCGGCACGCGCGTGAGGAGGCAGGAGCTCTGGTTCTCGAGGCAGGAGTGGAGCAGCGAGTACTGCCCAACCGAGTTGCTCCAGTAGCTTCGTGTCAGCGTGGCGCGGCACGTCAGCCATAGGAACTTCTCCAGGATCGGGTGGCCTTGCCACCATGGCCGGTGGCGCACGTAGCGGCACAGCATCTTCACCCTGTGCCAGTCCGACAAGACGAGGGACAGGTACTGGGAGAGCTCGAGGACCAGGAAGAGGGAGATCACCAGCCTAGCCAGCCAGATGTCGACGCTGGTCGTGGTGTAGTCGACGGCGCCGCCGCCCGGGGGCGGAGAGTGGTGGTGGTGGTGATGCAGCAACGCCGGGGAGAAGAGGGTGGAGAGGCTCAGCGCGGCGGCCGCCATGAACGTGGCCGTCTCCGGGACGAGAGTCTGCTTCGGCGAGGGGTACCTCGCGTAGTAGAAGTCGAAGAGGAAACCCAGCTCCACCTCGATGACACGGTACATCCTGTCGTGGTCTTCGCAGGAGTCGCCGCCGGCGAGCCCCCTCCGGACGAACACGAGCGTCCTGATGTCCTTGGGCTCGTGGAACGGCTTCCCGTTGAGGTTGAGGCGTTGCCGGAGGAGCTTGAACAGCGAGAAGGAGAGGCACAGATCCTTGAGCTTGTCGTCGTCGCTCAGTAGGCTCCCGTCGTGCTGCTCCCACGCTTTCTCGACGGTGACGAGCTCGTCGTTCACCTTGTACTCGGCGGCGCCATACTGGTACTGCACGTTCTTCTTGTCGTCGCCGGTGACCACGTACCTGTAGCCCCTCATGGTGGCCGGGTCGAAATCCCAGATGCTGCTGACCTTCTCGTGAGCCATGTACTTGGAGATGAGCCAGTTGTCGGCGGTGAGGACGCGGTCACGGCCGGCGGCGAGGAGGCCCCGTAGGCGCAACACGAGCTTGGCGACGTTGAGCAACCAGAGCAGCGACAGGAGCACCTTCAGCTGCAGCTGCAGAGAACCGAGGTAGGAGATGAGGAGGAGCATGACGTAGAACACCTGCGTGGCCTGGCTGATCATGGTGCGGGCCTGCTGGTCGGCGCCGTCGAGGCTGCAGGCGGCGATGCCGTCGGCGCAGCCGAGCAGGAAGCATGCCCACACCACCACCATGTCGTTGCGGAAGGAGCCCGACTGCATCAGCCCGATCGTGTAGGACACCGCCGGGTAGCTCAGCATCAGCGCCAGCCAGACCACGAAACGGAAGGCGGCGCTGCGGCTGGTGCGGCGGCCAGAGCCGAGGAAGACGAGCGTGGCGAGGAGCGCGCAGCTGGCCGTCACCAGCGCCTCCACGCGGACCAGGAGACCCACCGGGCTGGCCGCCCACGCCGTGGCGGCGCGGGTCACGTTCTGTGCTACGGACAGGTGCTGCTGCTCCATCTTTCGCTGATTTCGAGCTAGCTTCTTCCTCTCTCTCCGGTTCCAATCCAAGGTTCGAGTTTGGACTTTGGACGAAGAGAGCAGCACATGTCTCGTACTTTCATGTCTAGACAACAAGGTTTAATTTCTTTATTACTTGACCAAGACCATATGCCAATATCACATGTCTATGTTCCCGGTAGTGGATTCTAAACTGTCGATGGGATATCCCCTCATTATTTGTACGTCATCCTAATGGTTATGTAATTTTTTTAAAAATTCAACAAGATAGATTAATATGTGATAAATCATTTAACAAACATACTCCCTCCGTACTCAAAAGAAAGTCGTTTAGGACAATGTTTAAGTCAAACCTTGGAAATATAAATCATTAATAACTCTCAAGTTGTTGAGTTTGAAAATATAAAAAATATATAAATAGATTTGTCTTGAAAATTACTTTCATAAAAGTATACATATATCACTTTTCAATAAATATTTTTATAGAAACCAGAAGTCAAAGTTGTGTTTTGGAGACCGTGTCGCTGTCCAGAGCGACTTCCTTTACGATTACGAGTACGGAGGGAGTACAAGTTAAAATGTAGAGCAATTTTACAGTCCTTAAGAATGTCTCAAAAATTTAATGCGAAATTTGATATCTCCTACCAAGAGGTGCTAAATTTACAATAGAGAAAGTGGTACCTCACGGTACCTCCTAAAGAACTATAAAATTGTTCTAGAATTTAACTTCTAGAAGTTGCAAAAAAAAACAAATTAAACTACGGGTAGTTAACGTATATTCGCACTCAAATTTGTTTTTTCGTTGCAACTTATAAAAGTTAAATTTCACCTTGCATGTTTTTGAAGTGATTTATCACATATTAATATATCTTTTTGATTTTTTTTATTTTTTTCATGATCATTTGGATGACATGCAAACAATGAGGGATGTCCCCTTGAGAGTTTAGAATACATTCCACTTTGTTCCCTTCAAAATATGTCACATGTTAGTGGAAACAATCAAGAGATTATAAAGTCCAACCAATGAGACTGTCATGGTTATGGATACCACATACCTAATAGTAGTTGACTAAACACTACAGGGCCCACCACATACCATGACTTATACGGAAACAAACCTCGTATATAGAAGGAGTTCCGGATAAGGAAGGATAAGAAGAGTTCTACATAGAAACGATAGGGACTACTCAGATCGTATCCATATTTATCTCCCTAGATTTACTTGGACAAGGGGGCACCTATGGGTATAAATACGATCCCCCCTAGGAGGAGAGGGGAGAGACCCACCACAATCTACGAAGCCACAAGACACAACATACACACAAGCCAATACGCCACTAGATCTCGACAACAAAGATTAGCCTAGGTATACCCCATCCGGTGCTTGTGAAGGCCGGCAAGAGGGATCTAGCGCCATCTCTGATCTCGACAAGTTCATATTTGAGGAGGAAGAATGCCCTGTCGTTGACTACGAGTTGGTTATATAGCCGCTAAGTCGACGACAGCTAGATAGGTTATCCCAAATATTGTATCTGTATGATCCAGATGAATAAAGAGCAACACTGGCTTCGGCCAACAGGATGTAGGGCTATTACCTGTCAGATAAGGGGCCCGAACCTGTATAAAAATCCCTGTCTCCATCTCCTTTACCTCAATCTCGCATATACCCTGGTACCAACGATCCCCATACCATACAAATACCCTAGTCGCGATCTCAAACGTCGACAGAGACGATCACCTAACTTAGCCGGTAATAATTAGGGGAGGCATCTGTCAAATTTTGGACCGTTAGATTTGCTCTAAGATTAATGCCGGCCTCTTTTTCTCCTCTGGCTCCGGCGACACAGCGATGACCCTAACCAGTTAGGGTTTGGCGATGGACGGTCAACACAAACAAGCGGCAAGGCGGTGACAATAGTGCCAAAACCATGGGGATGGAGGACGGTGGTTTGGTGTCGGAGGCGGGGCTAGGCAAGTGAGGCGGGGGAGGACGATGGTCGGGTGGTCCTAGCTGACGCCATTCGCGCCTTTAGGCACTTGCGAGGTGGGGACAACGCCGGCGAGCTCGCTCCTCTTGTTCTATCAAGCGATGCGGGAGAGAAGATGAAAATGGGAGAGGATAGGTTACTATTCATGTACAAATGTTGATGCAATCCTAGCCATCCAAAAGTGACTGAAATCTAATGGGGTTTCTAGTTTCACATCAATGTTCCTTATTTTTTTGAAAAGTAATTCGCATGTTACAATTTGGATCAATGACGACCCACATGTCGGCGATGCTAGGGTATAAAGGGGAAACTACCTCGGTGGGGTGGACACGGATGACCTCCTCTTCTGCCATGTCGATGAGTTCTCCTCTCTTTATCTCAAGACAACATGGTGAAGGTCAAGGTCTAGCCTCAAGGTAGCACGGCAGGGGGAGATGGTGAAGCGAACAATGACTTCATCGAGGCATGGCAAGGTCCTAGCAGCCAACAAGAAGCAAAGCAGCGGTGGTGGCGCATGGAACGAACGCGACGTGACGATGATAGAAGAGCAAGGCATTAAGTGCAGGGTGACATGGTGAGGGGAGGATGATTGGGTCTTCCGCCATACCGACGGTAATGGTCATAAGAGGTTTGTCGTTCAGCGTTAATAGCACCGGTAGGTTAAAGCTTATGTTCAAAGTGAATTAGTGTGAAATCAAGCAAGGTTTTAAAGGAAAAATGAAGAGGGTTTAGTGCAGTTTATTTGCCCTATCAATTTTGCATTGAGATGGAAGAATGAGGCGATAGAAGAGGAGAAACTACTAGGGTTTCGAGCGACGCGGGTGGAGCTCGTGATGAGAGGCCTAGGCCGGTTAGGCTATACGGCTATGTGCAGGAAAAGGAGCCGATCGTAAGCCTCTATGCCGATGTAGACCTAGTTCTCGCGCCATTGCTCCCACTTATGCTTCAACAATGTGGGAGGAAGTCCATGACGTGGCGGCCGTGGAAGTAGACGCATCCCGCGCGTGCCACACGGTGAAGTACCAGTAGAATAGTTCCATTGATGACGAGATGCTGACGAACATGTCGTAGAAATGCACAAAGTCGAGGTGCATCATCTGTAGCTGGTACACCTCTAGAATCTGCATAAAGAATTCCAAAAAGGGGGGACCAGTCCATCCGCTGCATAGTCGGTGAAGTGCACCACTTCCATCGGCTCATTCGGATGGGGTCTAAACCCTCCGCACATCACCGAGACCGCCAGCCTTCACCGATTTGAGGTCGGCATATAAGGAGATACGTCTTCTCTATCCACCCGTTGTCGTTTAGGCGGGATGGTGGAAGGGCACTCCCATATAGGGGCCTCGCAAGTCGATTGGTGCAAGGCATCACTGCTGGCTAAGGAGAGGCAGAGGCGGCAGGGTTGTCAAAGGAGGGATCGGAGGTGGTGCGCTGCATGAGAAGAAGCAATAAGGCGGCGAACTGAAGAAGAGTGGGGCAGCAGCATTACAAATGAGATGAAGTACGTGCTGAAGTTTGGCGGGGGGTTTTATGCCTTGAAAACCCTCCGTGACGCTTCGCCCACTCCACCATGGCGATACGATTATCGGAGACTGGGAGAAAAATTAGGGTCGTGGGTAATTATGACCTGAAGCCTCGGAAACTGAAGACGGCCAATAATGGGAAAGGTTAACCAGTGCCCCGTCACATCCTCCTGCAACCACATGGGGCCCATGTTATCCTGTGCTTCGGTAACTTCGAGTAGAAGCCCCATCCCCAACCTCAATGGCTCTCAGCCCAGCAATGGGGCTACTGTAGGAGAAACAGGAATAGGAATTCCCTTTCCCCCTAGGAGATCGAGGCGTTGTAGGACCCATTGAGCCTTCCTTCCTGAGGGCTCGGGCACTATGGGCCCCGCCAAGCTTTCAAGGTTTCAAGAAAAGTCCGGGGGTGACCCGAGGACACAGAGTGACCCGAACATGATGGCCGGCCATTGAAAAGCACTTATTACACCCTGGGGCCCCGAGGGTGCCCCGAGCAGTCCTTAAGGGGGATTTCACTCCATTAAGGAGGGGTACTCAGGACTGGTCATCACCCTTAAAACGACCACTTTGCATTAATTGTGATGTGGTTCAAGCATGGCGTACAACTCATGCCTTACGTGGGAGACGTGGTAGTGCATGCAACCCCTTGCATGCTTACGTTGCCCAAAGAGCACGAGCCACACGGCGTGGCGTGTCCTCATCAACCATCACTAGGGCCAACCTCTATTGGCTTCGGCCACTAACTGATGGGCCCGGGGACAATTCGAACGAGGACTTTTGACTTTCCATTCCACTTGTTGGTCGGTAGGTGTGCTTGTCTTATCTAGTCGATTGGCTAGGAGGGACAGCGATAATACTAAGCATATGAAGTTTAGAGGAGTTGGCCCCACTCTTGCATGCATGCGATGGCAATGTGGACTCTCCTTCACATATAAAAGGAGGATCCATACCACCGAAAAAAGGGTTCGCACTCTCGTTGAAGCTACGTTAGCCAAACACTAAGTGAGCAAGGAACTTCTCTCCTCCACACTTAGTCTTTCTTCCCACAAAACCTTGTAATCCTTCCACCCATCCAAAGTCCACCACACAGGAGTAGGGTATTACGCCGCATCCATATGATCTGAACCTGTATACTTGATCATGTTTGTTGTTTCTTCTTGCACGTGAAGCGGGACCCACACTTAAAACTTGCACCCAGGCCAAACTCACAAAAGGGGAGTACTTAGCTTCCCTGCTAGAGGAGTACCGGACTCTGACATAACATATTCATGCAAATTGGAAAGAAAAAAAAACATATATTTTGAAAGAAAAAAAACCTATGTCTAGCTGCCTAACTGGCGCACATTATACAAGGACATTCAGATCGAGAAGGTCAAATTAAATATCCATGACAGATAACGCCTAAGGGCACCCACAATGGTTATCTATAGGCTCTCTACAAGAGATCCATGTCAGCATATTTTCCTACTTGGAAGATATTAAATGAAGAGAGAGAGCAAAGCTATCTACTAACTTAGAGATAGTCTATAGAGAAAAACGAGGCAAGGCATGAGAGAGCTATAGATACCCATGTAGACATACTATTAATCTAGTCTATTGCTGAAATGTACATGTTTTATAGAAAGCACATTACTTTACCATTGCGGGTGCTCTAATAGTCACACATTATACGAGGACGTTCGGAGAGAGTCAAGTTAAATATCCGTGATAATGTTTGGTCAGATAGGCATCCCATGTACCAATGGGAGATCGGAGTACTAACAACAGTACAGCGCAATAAAGAACTCAAGCAATCAGGGCCATCTGTATTAATTAATTTTGATCCGATGGTCCAGATTCACTGCTCCAAGACATATAAACCACAGGGTAGCGCAAGGCAGCAGCAGAGGGACTAAAAACCATGGAAGGGGGACAGCCAATAAGGATATACTGCAAGGGAGATACAACCTTGAATGTGGCCGTCCGTGGGAACGAGCTGCGTCTCGTCCGGGACGACCCCAACGACGAATCCCAGGTACCAAAAGCTAGCAATCCCAGCTAGGATCCTATTTAATTTGCATATTCTAATTTGGTCTTTGGTTGCTTGATTTTGCCTCAAATCATCAGTATTTACGACCTGTAGTGTAGAAGAAAGTATGTCGAAGCTGTTAATTTTTGCAATTACATGTATAAACCGTTGTGTGATATTATACTACCGTTTTTAATTTGCGTGGATTCGGCAATGTACGTACGTCTGGTCTGCACACGATCGAACATAGCACTGGTTCCAGGTGTGCGACGGCGTGGGGAAACTGACGGACGACGAGGAGCGGCCAGCGTTCGCGCTGGTGAACAGGACGACGGGGCACGCCCTGGTGAACGGCGGCGACCTCGAGCTGGGTCTGGCTCCCTACAGCGGCCATGTCGCCGTGGAGCTCTCGGTACTGTGGTCACTGGGGCACCCGCGCGCCGACGGGTTCATGGAGATCAGGACGCTGAGGGACGTCAGGTACACCCTCGACGGCGTCCACGGGTTCGTCGACGGGGGGTACAGGCTCAACGGCATCCACGGGATCCCCGAGCATGGGACGCTCGTCGCCATCTATCACTCGCAGCCCACGGCTGATTATGCCGTCTGGAAGATTGCTCCCGTCGGCCACCAAGAGCCGCACAGCCACAGCGAGTCTGATGATGCTCTGGAGTCTTAGGTTGGACACGGCCATTTCCAATGCAATAATGGTTACTGTTGGAGTCGTACGTACAAATGAATTAAATTATTACTAGTACTATATTGCATATCTAGCTAGTGTGCGCTACGCGATTGGGTATCAGTACTTGGAGATCTCGAGTTGTAGTCCTTGCTTGCTTAATTAAATAAAAGTAGCAGCTGGTGGCCGGAGCATTCTTGTCAGGAGTCTCTCTCTAGCATTTATTTGTTTTTTAGATAATGGATTAAACCGGCCTCTACACCCAAAGGATGTACACAGCCTAAAAGTCTCTTACACGAGCACTTAGGCTCACACCCTTACAAAAGGTTTAACACAAATTCGAGTGACCACAAACGGACACTTAGACAATGACAGAGATTAACCAAAATAGTACTTAAGACAACAAAACCCCATGGTGCAAAGAAGAGAGAGCATTAAACTTCTAATCTTGTTCTTAAGTTCCACCCTTTCATTGCAAAGAAACTAGAAACTCTCTTCTCCAATATCATGCAACCATCTTTTACTCTTTGGCCATCTTCCTCCTTAAGCAGCGAAGACTATTGTCTTGCCCAAAAAAGTTCCCCTGAAAATCACCTGCAACAAGAAATTAGTGTTGGAGCCATTAAAGACTACATCATTTCTGCACAACCATACCGCCCAACACAACGCTGCGACCCCTCCAAAGACTTTAGTTTTTAGCTTAGGTTGAACCCCCCCTTAGCCAATTACCCAATAAGCTAGCAACATTCCTAGTTTTGAGCCTTAGAAAAGTAGAAGAAGATAGAATTTCTAAGAGTTTACCCTTGTCGAATTGTTTGTGTAATGAGGTTAACAATAAGGGATTTAGTTCAGAAGGAGAAGAAGAGTTAGATAACCTTGTTCTTGGTCACTTATGTGGTGATTTAGTAGAAGAGGTTATGGATGAGGAGAAAGACCACCTAAGTTGTGGTGCTCAAAAATTCTCCAATAATTCTAACAGGAAAAATGCTGAGATAAGGAGGGGAAAGAGGAAGGTTAGAGTCGCTATTCGCAAAAAGAGGGCATCATGGGGGGAATTTTCTGGAATAGCAGAGGTCTGGGAGACTTGGCTAAATTCAGATTTCTTTCGGATACCTCAAAAGAGAAAAAGCTAGACTTTATTGCCCTTTTAGAGACAGGTAAAAATGATTTCTCCAACGCTAGTCTTAAGAGTTTTTGTGGAGGCCAAGATTTCTTTTGGCATTGGACAAGACCAAGGGGAAGATCAGGAGGTATTTTGTTAGGAATTAATGAGGCGGTCTTTGACATTTCTAGCGTTGATGAAGGCAAGTTTTATATTAAGTTCCACATTAAAAATAAGGATGATGGCTTTCAATGGATCCTCGTGGCAATCTATGGGGCGGCCCAAGAGGAATACAAAGAAGCTTTCCTTGTTGAGTTGGTTAATGCTTGCAGTAAGGAGTCACTACCTATTTTGCTTGGTGGAGATTTCAACATTATTAGAAATCCTTCTGAAAAGAACAATGATAATTTCAATGAGAAGTGTCCTTTCCTCTTTAACGCAGAGAGTTGGAACTTTCTAGGCGCAAATTCACTTGGGCTAACTCCTTGTCAAAACCAATGTTTGAGAAGCTAGATAGAATTTTGATGAGTACCAAATGGGAACATAAGTATCCTCTAGCTTCGAATCGAGCTTTGAGTAGGGAACTTTCTGACCATACACCACTATTGTTGGACACGGGTGTTAATACTCCTAAACAACCAATATTCAGGTTTGAGCTTGGATGGTTGTTAAGAGATAGCTTCTATGACATGGTAGCGGATGTATGGAAAAAGGAAGTTAAGGGGGGACTAAGTTGGAAAGATGGCAAAATAGGATACGTCGGGTGCGTCAATTTTTGAGGGGATGGGCGAAAAATACAAGTGGAGCATACAAGAAAGAGAAGGCTAACTTGTTAGCAAAAGCGGATGAGTTAGACAAGAAGGCTAAGATGCAATGTCTATCAGAACAAGAGTTAAACCTCAAGAACTATCTAAAAAATAGATTAGCACTTTTGCTAAGGGAAGAGGAGATAAAATGGTACCAACGGGCGAAAACAAAAAGAATTGTGGATGGTGATAGAAATACAAAATACTATCATTTGATAGCTAACGGAAAGCACCGGAAGACTCGAATTTTTCAGTTGGAACAAGAGGAGGGTGTAATTAAGGGTGACGTACAGCTGAGAAAGTACATTACAAAATATTACAAAAACCTCTTTGGACCCCCAGAGGAAAATAATTTTTCTATGAGGGAGTCTAGAATAGAGGACATTCCTCAAGTCTCAAATGAAGAAAATGACATCCTAACAAAGTAATTCTCAGAGGAGGAAGTAAAGCAGGCTATCTTCCAAATGGAACACAACAAGGCTCCAGGTCCCGATGGATTTCCTGCAGAGTTCTTTCAGGTGTTTTGGGAAGTCATTAAAAAGGACCTAATGGCCATGTTCAATGACTTTCATAAAGAAGAATTGCCACTACACAGCCTGAATTTTGGTATCATAACTCTTCCACCCAAACATAAGGAGGCCAAACAAATTCAACAATACCGGCCTATCTGCTTATTGAATGTAAGCTTCAAAATTTTCACGAAGGTACTAGCAAATAGAGTAGCTCTAGTAGCTCAAAAGATCATTAGACCTTCACAGACGGCCTTTTTACCCGGGAGAAACATAATGGAAGGTGTTGTTATTTTGCACGAAACAATTCATGAGATGCACAGGAAGAAGAAGAATGGGGTGGTTATTAAGCTTGATTTGAAAAAGCTTATGATAAAGTGGATTGGAGGTTCTTACAACAAACTCTAAGGATGAAAGGCTTCTCTCCTTTATGGTGTCGTTGGATTGATCAAATAGTTAGAGGAGGCAGTGTGGCAATCAAAGTGAATGACGAAATCAGAAATTTCTTTCAAACAAAAAAAGGACTAAGGCAGGGAGACCCGTTATCACCAATTCTCTTTAATTTGGTGGTTGACATGTTGGCAATTTTGATTAAAAGGGCAAATGAGCAAGGTAGCTTTCATGGGGTAGTTCCACACCTAATAGATAATGGTCTATCTATCCTCCAATATGCGGATGATACGATCCTTTTTATGGAACATGATCTAGAAGAGGCCAAGAATCTCAAACTTGTACTAAGTACATTCGAGAGATTATCGGGTCTAAAGATCAACTTTCATAAAAGTGAATTGTTTTGTTATGGTAAGGCTAAGGAGGTGGAGAAAGATTATATCTTAATGTTTGGGTGTGATTCCGGGAAGTATCCTTTTAGGTACTTAGGAATTCCAATGCACCACAAAAAACTATCAAACAAAGATTGGTTCGCAATTGAGGAAAGGTTTCAAAAGAAGCTGAGTAGTTGGAAAGGGAAGCATCTCTCGGTAGGTGGTAGACTTGTGTTGATAAATTCAGTGCTCAGCAGCTTGGCTATGTTTATGCTCTCCTTTTTTGAGGTACCTAAAGGTATTCTCGAAAAGCTAGACTATTATAGGTCTAGATTCTTTTGGCAAAGTGAAGAGCATAAAAAGAAGTACAGGTTGGCCAAATGGAGCATTTTGTGCAAACCAAAGGAATGCGGGGGTCTCGGGATTCAAAATCTTGAATTACAAAATAAATGTCTGTTAAGCAAATGGTTATATAAGCTTATGAATGAAGAAGGAGTGTGGCAAATTCTCTTGAGAAACAAATACCTATCAAAGAAAACTCTGACTCATGTCGAAAAAAAACCAGGGGATTCTCACTTTTGGTCCGGTCTAATAACGGTTAAAAATACCTTCCTTTCATGTGGATCTTTAAGGGTCCACAACGGGACTCAGGTTAGATTTTGGGAAGACCGATGGAGTGGGATTAGTCCTTTTGCTGCACGTTTTCCTGAGTTGTATAACATAGCGAGGAACAAGAATGAGTCAGTAGCAGGTGTTATGAGTACAAGACCTTTAAATGTTTCCTTTCGGAGGGCTATAGTGGGAAAGTATCTAAAAGATTGGTTAAAGGTAGTTGCAGAGGTTATTTTAGTAAGTTTAACAAATCAGAACGATAGCTTCGTGTAGGAGGCACAGAAAAATGGGCTCTTTTCTATTAACTCGATGTATAAATCTATCATGTACAGGGACGTCATTCCAAAAAATGATATGATCTGGAAACTCAAGGTACCGCTAAAAATTAAAAAAAATTTGTGGTACTTAAGAAGTGGAGTAATCCTAACAAAAGACAATTTGGTCAAGAGAAAATGGAAAGGTAGTGTTAAATGCTGTTTTTGTGATTCTAATGAATCAATACAACATCTTTTCTTTGATTGTCCTCTTGCACGATTTATGTGGAATGCTGTCTTCATTTCTCTCTCTAGCATATAACGTAAAAGTTACAGTTTTGTGATAATTTCTCACGCTATCATTGTAGCAAACTGAAACATGTCGCTAATGTTATAGCAAACTGATAGTTTTGTCATTAAAGTTGCAATTTTCTGAAATTTACTCTATATATATTGCTTGTGGAAGACTAAAATTTTGTTATAGACGTTCGTGCTGCGATGAAATAATAGAGTTCCCTTCCCCTTGCCAACCCTTTCCCTCCCCTCGCATCCATAGCTAGCTCTCCGCCGCTCGAGCCAGCTGTCGGGAGTCCATGCCCGCCGTCATCGTTGCCGCTCTGCCCAAGGCGCAGATCCAGCCGGCACGCGCGGGGCTGGCGGCGCCGCTCCCAGTCGCCTCCTCCTCCTCCTCCTCATCATCAGTGGCGGCCACCGCGCCGCCCGCCGCCGGATCCACTCGGGGGAGGGCGGGGGAGGGCCCTGCCGGCATACTACTCAAGCCCGCCGCTGGAGCTGCGCGGGGCAGGGCGAGGGAGCCGCGGCCTTCGCCATTGCCCGCCGTCGACTGCGCTGCCCACCGCCCGTTGACCAAGCCACTCGCTGCCGCCGACCGCCGTCCACGCTCGCCGCCCGCCGCCGTTGGCCGCACCGCCCACACTGGATTGCGAGAGGAGACGGAGTGAGAGTGAGGGAGAGGTGAGGATAAGGATGAAATTTTGAAGTGATGAGGAGGGAAAAGAGGAGGGAGGATAGACTTGTAAGCTTAGTCTATTAGTTTCTTCTTTTCAGTTGTTTGTTATTTATCTCAGTTATGAGATTAGGGGTGTATATACTCGTGTAACTTTTAGCTATATACTTGAGGCCGGGATTCTATCCA